CTTCCTCAGATTATCAAATCTCTGGCAACAAGAGACTCCATGCTATCAGTTGGCAACATGTGGTGTAGCTAAAATGCCGTAGTAAAATTTACTTTAGTTAAAAAGGTCTAGTGAAATCTAGTGAAAGATAATAATAATAATAGTGCATCTGAAGTAGAAATTGTACAATATAATCTGTTACATCATGTTTATTTGTCTGTGTACATATAGGTATGCTTGGCACTCTGGAAGCCACCAAAATAAGCAATGAAGCCACTATCCAAGATCAACAAAGTGAGTTATTTAAAATAAAAGACAGACTGTCTTGGCTGGAGAATGAAAGAAAAAGTCTGGAAAATAAAAGTCAAACATTGGCAGACCAACAGGGTGGTCAGGTTAGGGCTTTAGAAAAGGTATGTACTCTTCTGTTAAATTAATCTATTTATAAATATTCAGTTATGCTGCCATGATTGCAGTAATATAAGTCTACATTTTTCAAAATTCAATCTTGATTTTCAGAGATGTGTAAAATGCAAACTCGTTCAACTTTTTATTTGATTGTAGGCACTGGAAAAATTATCATCGGAAAAAGACGATATGAGGGAAAATTACGAGAAGCAGATTGCTAGTATTAAACAAGTTACCAAAGACAATTTAGAAAAACTACAGACTGAACACAAATTCAAATTAAGTGAGCTCATAAAAGAACATCAAGAGAAGATGGAATCTATACAGAGAGAAAATAAGGAGCAGTTGGAATCACTTAAACAGGTATGCAAAGTTTTAGAAAGTTGGAAATTATTCATTTTCCTCGACACTGTAGGCTTTTACACAACCATTAGAAATGTATCCTTGCGTGATGCCACATTGGAAAGTATTTCCACTGTAACTCTTTTTCTCTAGTGACTGTCTTGCTTATAACTGGAATTTGTTAATGGGATTTCAATGAAAACAAGCATTTCTGGAATCAAGAGAACACTTGAACCATGAGTTAAATCAGCTGGATGGATTTCAGTATGATTGAAGATTTTTTTTAACTTACCGTAATTTGCTCACACCTAGAAAATTTATTGATTTGTCAGAAATGAGCACTGTATGCATACTAATCGGGAGAATATCTCCTTATTTGGAGATGATTTCTATTTAAGGGAAAAAGATCCATTCTGACATTTTTGAAGCCAGTCTCACTGTATTGAATGACCTGTAACATACCATTCCATATTATAGTATAATATACATGTACTCTTAATAAGAAATTAAAACTTCAAAGTATGTTGGAAACTATTTAATATTACTCATCACCATAAAAGTTCATAGATATAGGTCAATATGACATCCATGGAATTTGAGAACTGTCATGTGATTATTACAGATAATCCAATCATATATAGAATACTAATAGTACTTCTGTGTGTAGCTTATCCTTAAGATAATACACTGATCATATTTCCTAATGGGCTGGTATGCTCTGATCAAATTACCCAGTACTTGCATTTTGATTGCCTTTCCTGTATTTGCTCTGCAGACATAAACCAAAAATTGCATTTCGTGTTTGCTAGATAATTAAAATCTGACTTATTTTGTTCATAGACTTCTGCCATTTACATAAGAGCATACCATATGTTTCTAGTAGAGCAATATGATATTTGCACTACCAGTACTTAAAAAAAAAAGAGAACTGTTCCTCTGGTTTTTCTTATGTGTGTTGCATGTAAAGTATAGAATTGTTTTCAATTTTTCCTGATTTAGTTTATAGGGTTTTAATTTAGCAGGTTTTCAACTTATCAAAGAAAATATAGAAATTAAATTCAAGTTTGACCTGATGCGTGACATAATGGTTACGGTAACCTGCCTTGTGTCAGTGAGATTGCAGTTCAATTTTGCGATCCGTCACAAAAAATATCTGCAACCTGTCCATTTGCCAAGCTTGCGGCATTCAGTTGAGAATATGGCGTTTTGTCAAGAGGACGTAAACTGCTTATCCTATGTGCAGTTCTTATCTTTAGTGCACTGCAAATATCACAGTATTCTTGTTGCAAAGAGTATTGAAAAACCACTCGATGACTGGAATTTGGAAATGGAACTTTAAAAATAGGCTCCTGTGGAATATAGGCATATGACCTATCAGGCTGCAATCTATAAATTAAGTCCAAATGAAAAAAAAAAAGAACAATTAATTCATTTACAGTAATCTAAATACTGTCGAATGTTTGCTGCAGTGCCAGATTTGTGATTTGATCATTTATCGACATTTGCGGCAAAAAGCATGAGAGGTACAGTACTTCACTGTTAGTGCTGGTAGGCCAGAGTTTGCAATATATTATTTATGTTCTCACCAAGTACAGTGTACAACAATGCTTCAATTTTGAAATTAAACAGTGGTATGCTAATTAGATGTATTGCAATAACACTTGAGATACTGTGGAATACTTTATATTCGCTGGAATTAATTTTCGCTGAAAAGGCTTTTTGGGTGTTTTGCTTGGAATTAATTTTCACTGATTTTTGATGAGTTTGATATGAAATATAGAAAAAAAAGTATATTCACTGGATTTTATTTTCACGGAATCGTTCCTTCAGTGAAAATAAATTCCAAGCAAAAATAAAGTATTCTACAGTATTCACATTCTACAATTGATATGCAAATTAGCTGGTGAGAACGCAGTTGAAAGAAATTGGCCTTTGATGTTAATCATGGGGAAAAATCTTTTATTAACAGGAGTCAGAAAAAAAACTATCAGAAGAAAAAGATCGGTTAACCAACGAAAAGGAAAAGATTCAAGAAGAGCTTGACAAAGTCAGATCTGAGTTGACGTATAAATTGAAAATGGCAGAAGATGAGATTTCTAGATTACAGAAGTTAGTAGCCGAGAGTGAAGATGGATTGGGGTCAGCGGGCTCGCATATAAATAGTTTGAAAACTGCAAATAATGAATTACAGGCGCAGCTAGAGAACACAACAGCGGAGTTGCGCGTAAAGAAGAATGAAGCCGCTACATTACAGGTGGGGAATTATGATTGCATTATGTGAGCTTGTGTGAGAGTGGAGTGATACTGTTTAATGTTATGGGAGCAACTTTTGCTCCTCCAGATCATATTGTTTATCTTTGGGAAAAGGTTACATGTTTGTTTTTTGTGTCATGGCTTTTCATTCCTAAACATTCTCCTACTTGTCTGACTGATTTTAAGTGGATGCAAAGCAGATGGTTCATTGTGTTGGTTCTCTCCTGATAAAACAAAACAAAACAGTCCTTCACAAAGTGCTCAGCCAGTTTATTTTTCAGACAGAGGAGCTGTATATATTTCAATGTTTTTGCTGAAATTTTGTTTCGATAAAAAAAGGGTCAAGTGAGTTGTGATTACTGTGTGATTGCTGAAGCTTTGATTCCATAATTGTTGAATCAGTTTACAGCAATATTTAAAGTGTGTAGAAAGATGGTCAACTTCAGTAAAAGAAGTTAATCCTGAGTTTCTCTACATTTGGTAAAACATTTTGCCTGTTTTTATCCTCGCTGTCGATTTTGATCATATTACTGATTATCTGTCACCATCTCTTATCTGCCTCAACTCTTTTTCGACTTCTTCTTGAAAACCGCAAGTCTTATTGCTTTGATACTTGGTGTATCTTGGATACATGGGGTACCTGTACATACACTTTTACAATATATAACATGGTAACATCAGATACATACACACAATCAAACTTTGACTCTTTGTCTATTACCGTTACTGCAGGCTGACATTATGAAACTGAGAAAGGATCACAACAACGTGATGGAGTCGGTGAGAAAAGATACAAAATTTAAATTAGAACAGTTATCTAAAGAGTTGGACAGTAAATGGGCTGAGACCCTCAGGTATGTGCATATCAGAACTCCCTTGTTGTTTTAACAGTAATATTGTTTGTTTCATTCATGTTTCGGGAACAAGCTATTAAGTGTGTTTTACATATTGACCTTCCTATGACCTCAGGAAATTGATATTTCCGTCTAATGTAAGTACTTTTGCACTGCTCTTAATCCCCCACTGGAGGTCATACAGCTGTTCTCACTGGTTGTTAGCCCCCCCACTAGAGGTCATGCAGCTGTTCCCACTGGTTGTTAGCCCCCCACTGGAGGTCATATAGTTGTTCACTTAAGTTGTTA